CCCCTGCACAGCCCCCGCTACCTCCTGCCGCCGGGCCAGGCCGAGCCGCCTGCGCAAGCCCCGCTCCGCCCCATCCAGCCTCCGGCTCCTGCCCTGCCCCTTCCCCGCCCCCTCCCACCCAGCAGGCAAGTGGAGGCCCCGGGGCTAAGCGGGGCTCCCTGCTTCTCCCTGCCGTGCACCCCCGGGCCCGGGGCGGTGGGATCCCCCGAAGCCCCTTCCTCTGAGGCTGCCCCAGCCCTTTGGGGGGCTGCCAAGCCCCCTGGCCGGGCAGGGAAGCAGGATGCGGGTCCAGGGCAGCCCGACATCCTTTCCAGGGTGATTTCTCAAGCCTTTCTGGGGTCTTCGCAGTCAGATGGCTCCAGTCCTTTCTCTTCTGCAGTCCAAGAAAGTCCAGCGCCGCTTTTCGGCCCCTGCTGCCCGTCGCCTCTATTGCAGTTAACGGGTAACTAGCACAGGGCGCATAGACCGGCAGCAAGTGCGAAGTCACGGACCTGGGTCACCGCGCGCCGGCCACGTGTGCAAAGTAATTCTCTCCCTGCAGGAAGGACTATCCTGCTGCAAAGGAGACAAAGTGGCTATAAAGCTCGTGCTTGGAAATGTGGAGCAGCTCTAGGGCTGGTTTCTCTCCAGCTGTGACTTGAACTCGCAGCCAGGCCCACAGAGCTGGGATTTTTTGTCTAAAAAAAGGCCGAGAGGGGTTTCAGCAGGAGCCTGACGGGGCCCAGCCCTGTGTTTCACATCCGCAGAGGCTTGAACTGGAAGTCGAGGGACTCCGTGCCCTCCTACGCCCAGGGACAACAGCAAACTCTTTTATGAGATTTAATTAGGAAAGAAAATAACTGCACAACACGGGAGAGCATAGGACCTGCATGGTCCCGGCTGCACCAATGCATTTATTCTTACTTTGGGCTCACCTGGGATTTGTTGATGGCCTGCTCATCTCACAAACGGCAAGCAGGTCGGTAGGTAGTCCATAGGCCTCCCAAAGTCCATCGCCGGTGGGGGCAACTGGACTGGTGGCATCACGGCTGGCTCCAGCGTAGATCTGCTTCCAGCAGGGTTGAACTGGAAGTAGGATGACTCTGCTCCCTCCTATGCAAACTCTTTTCCGTGGTTTAATTAGGAAGCTGCACGACACGTGAGAGTGTGCTGCACTGAGACCCAGGACACGTGGGTTCCCTCATCGATCTGCTCCGAATCCCACCCACGCCCAGCCCTTTCTCCCTCCTCCTCGCTTTGCCCCGTGAACGGGACCGTTCAGAGCCAGCACCATGCTGCACCTATGCAGCGCCTAGCTCTACATCGTGCAAACACGTGTGTAAAACACAGTGAGGACCAACGAGGGTAATTCATGACTTTAATGCCAACTCAGAGCGATGCACTAAATGAATGAGAGAGAGAGATGCCAAAAATACCTCTGTTACAGGCTCTCGATAGCCTTTTCATACCATCAGAGCCAGTCTTGGAAGCAGACTGCGCAGATTAGCTCAGCTACTTGAGAGGCCCTTCAGTGGGCTGCAGCCTGGCTGCATTGGCCACGGTTGTTGTAGCAGCCCGTTCCTTCCTACTTCTCTGCAAGCCCCGAACGTCTGGGGTGTCCACGCATCTCCTGACATGCTGCAGCCATGTCACCATCTTGCTTCTTGGCTGCAGGGGATGTTACAGGCCTGGCTGCAGGGCTCGAGTCGCTTCTCCGGCAGCCATCCGATGCATCTGCAGCCCCTCCCCGCTGTGGTCTGAAACGTTTCCAAGTCAGCGTGATGGTCATCCAGGCCACGGGTACCTCTGGATCCGTCAGCGGGTCAGGCTGAGTCTATTAGCATGGGGGATCGTGATGACGAGTAGAGCCAGTGTCACGCTCAGATGTGCAAACTGGCAGCAGAAGGGCACAGCCAGGCTGGAGGAAAGCTTGCAGGCTCAGAGATGACTCTTCCCGGGATCCCGATCACGTTCAACCTGTGAACGAGACATAAGGGCGGGGGGAAGGGATAATGTCTTTGGCCCACGCAACCCGTAACCCAACCATCGTGTTCCCAAGCCAGCCTCTCTCCTGGCCGAGCTCTGCAAGACCCAGCCACTTGTGGAGCGGCCTCCAGATTACAAGTGACATCATCCAGCTACGTGACACTCAGGTTTATGGCTGCACATGTCCACCCTTGGACATCTGGTACAAATGCAGGCTGGCCCTTCAAGGCTTCTTTGGAGAGGAGGTTTTTATGCTGAAATGACATGACTCCTAGTGTTTTTAAAAAATGCTGGTTTTTAAAGAGCCTTCAGTGCCAACAAAGAGGTCTCACGCTCTCAGGCCTCAAAAGACATCTTGATCCAACAGCAGAAGGAAAGCGTCATCGTAACAGCAGCGGAAGCATCCGCATTCAGCAAGCACGGTAACAGAAGGGGCAAAAATAGAAGATCCTTCATGCCTGTTAAAGTGGGCGTAGGACCAGCACCGTTTTTTTGGCTAGTGCTGCCCTGGGCACTCGCTCCTTAGGTTATGCAGGGCCTTGCCACAATCCAGTTACACACCTCTAAGCTTTGAGACTTAGCAACTCAGTGAATAAGTCTCAGCTTTAGTGCCACACGTGTTTAGGGACAGCAGGGAAATCAGACAAGAAGGGCTGGAAGGGACTTCAGGAGTCACATCTGGTCCAACCCCCTGCTCCAAGCAGGACTAGCCCCAGCTCCATCATCCCAGCCAAGGCTTTGTCTACCCGGGTCTTAAACACCTCCAAGGATGGAGACCCCACCACCTCTCTGGGGAGCCTGTTCCAGTGCTTCACCACCCTCCTAATGAGAAAAATGGAGCAGTTAACGGACTGCAATCCTGGAAACAGCAGTAGGCACCACTTCCACCTTCCTTGTCAGGCAACTAAATTCAGCAGAAGAGCAAAAGAGACTCATCGTTGCTTGGGTTCAACTGTGAAGCATTTATTGAAAATCATACATGTGTCGACAGACTTGCAGTCAGTACCAGTGCAATCAGAGACAGGAGGAGGACAGAATTAGGAGCCCAGTCCGTTAAAATGCAAATGCTGACAGTGTGCTCTGCCTTCCCCCTGGGGTCAAGCCTCACCAGCAAAATGCAAGCTTTGCCCAGCCTCTTCCTACACACTCAGGCCCTGCAAAGAGTCCTCCCTTCTCAGCTTGCTTCTCAAGCCTTGTGGGCACCGTAAGGACACAGCATGTGCACCACAGAACTCGCAGGTGTTGCAAGCCAGTGCATTCAAATGGGAATTTCCATCTTTGCTGATGCAGGGAGCTTTAACTGAGTAAATAACCTGCTTTTACCGTATGCTGCATGGTTCATAGTCTTAACAGCGAAGTGGAAGATGGCAAGCACAGTAGCAAGGCAGTCCCTCACGTGCAGGGATCCCAGAACATCTTAGAAACCGGCAGCAGTTCCCCAGAAGGTAGGGAAGCATCATATGCAGGATTTAGGGAGGCAGGGGTGGAAGCTCTTGGAGATTAGGGGCTTGTCCGAGGTCACAAACAGCCCGGGGTGGGAGCTGGGGCTCCACTGCTCTTCCTCATTGGCATCGCTTTGCCAATGGCGAGAGGGAACCAGGTGAAATGCCAGCTTAGTCACCAAGTTGAACCCGCTGTGCTTTAAAAGCAGTCTACACAGTTCCCATTGAGGCTGGTGGCACTGCTAGGCCACACAGCTGGATGTGCCATTCGTATTGTGAAGGGGATGCTGCCCGCCACGTGGCCTAGCGAGTCCAAACGAAAAGCAGGGAGTCATGTTGTGTACAGACAGACACACCGAGGTTTGGGGCAGCTTCTGACCTCAGACCAGAAGGTGAATGTGCCCAGCCTGGACTTCCCTCACATGAAGCGGGACTCCTTTAAAAGCTATTGCTGGGAAGGTAGGAAGCTGCAGGAACCCACAGGTGAAATACCAAAGATCCAGCTTCTCTCACTGACCCCAGAGAGCCGACAGCCACTCTCGCAAGACAGCCGGGGCCTGGACTTCCCTGCGCAAAGCAGGGGTTGTTAATGCCCCGCTCTCCTGGCTGGAAAGGTCAGGCAAGCTGACACCGTTAAACTAAAGTAGCATCTACTTGCACCGTGACTAGTCTGGCCACACTGGCAGTAGAAGCCCTCTTGTAGAGCTCAGTATCTAGTCAGGTTTTAAGACCTGTGTTTATTAGTAGACCTTTTGGGGGTCTTACTTACACATCAGCTGGGTGCCTACAGCCTGGCATTAATACAACCTCTGCAAATTATACTTTGGGGAGGAGTGAGCTACAGATAAGCCTGACAGCAGTTAACAGCAGTCCATAAATGGTCCAGCCTCCCAGGCTGAGCACGCACTGGCTTCAAGAGTTACTGCTATCTCCAACATACAGAAGCAAAGGAATAAGCCACTGCAACACAAAGGACAGCTCAAACCATCCCGCCGACCCATTTTTAGAGCCGAGCGAATATCAAGCAAGCGATGTGGCAGATCTAATGAATGAGACTCCACACTGATGATGGCAGAGCAAGCATTGCACCTGGACCAGGGGACTGAGCAGCTCAAAGACATAGAAGCAGAAAGACAAAAAGGTCATGAAGCAGCTCTTCAGCCCTCTGTGTAGTGATGCATGTCCCTAAGACAGACTTTAAATGAAGCGCCAGGGCCCGATGGCGCTGCAGCCCTACAGAGGAGACACCGGAGCTTTGCCCTGGGCCCTCAACATTAGCCTTCTCCTGACCCTCCCTGAGCTAAATGCTGAACGTTTGGTAAGTGATCTGTGCATGACCTCAATGCAAGGGACACAGCTGGAAAGTCAGGGATAGAGGGATAAATATTCTTTATCATCTTATAAATATGCTAAGGAACAGCTCAACAAGAGCAAAGTGCTTTTTTTTTTTCTCCTTTAGACCATTTAAAAAAAAAAAAAAACCCAAAAAAACCAAAACCAAACCCTAACTACACACAACAGAACAAGGAGCGTTCTAGCGGCTAAAACAGCTAATTCATGGTCAAGCCGACAATAAAGTGTTTCAGGCAAAATACTCAGTCTCTTGGCACCCGGAAGTTATCTTTTTCCTTTCTGATGGCTCCCATTGTCCGAATAGGGTCGGTTTCCCTGGCGTGCTTCTGGACTGTCTTCTCCCTGGCAGAAGGAAAATAAAGACCATGCTTTCATTACAGTAAGCCACATTTTGCACTGAACCCACTGTAGCTCAAACAAAAATGCTTTTGTAATTGAGAACTGGGTTCGCCTTCAAGCTACCAAACGTGCTTCCTGCTGTTACATTTGCAACGTATCTGCTCACAAGCTACTTTTATCAATCCCTAAAGATCCAAATGCTTAGAGCAGTTTCTTTGGGCTAACGAGAATAGCCCGCAGTTCAGAGCTGTCACAGAGCATACGGCAAACCGAAGAATTTCTGAAATGCAATCACTAGGCAGGACAGCCAGCCAGCAAGCCTAGGAAGCAAAGCTTCTGAATGCAGCCCTGCACCCCTTCGAACGTGCCTGCTGAAAGCCAGCAGCACGAATGAGGAATGCAGCTGCTCAGCAGAGCAGATGCATCGTTTAGCAATAACGTCACAAATTTCCCTGGGTTCTTCAGCTAGCCAGGCCCTCCCCTCGAGCTCTGCTGCAATCAAATCTGCCAAGGAAGAGGGACAGGAGAAGTCACAGGGTGAAACAATTGTGCAACACCAGGTAATGCCGCAAAATTGAGAGATCTCTCTTGCTCATCAAAGTTATCTGAAGGGAGATCTGTGCTTCCATCCAAACTGGGACTGGGCACCCGAAGGAGCAACAAGCTGAACAATGTCTCTCCTTGAAGAGCAGACGCGTGCTGCTCCACTTCCTTACCGCCTGCCAGGCAGCACTCGCACCCACGACCCGCACCCCCCTACCTCACTCGCATGAAGGGGTTGTATGCAAACTCTTCTGCAATAGTCGATGGGATGGTTGGTTCGCCACTGTCATACTTGGCCTATAAGGAGGGAAAAGAGATTTCTGACTACTGACAGCCCCGCACAGGACCATCCAGCAAGCGTGGGTCAGTCAATAGTGTTGGCATCGACCTGCTATGAGATGAGGTTCCTCCCAGTTCAGGAGACATGCCAGATCTTTCCCCAATGGGCACAGATCCATGCCCCGGTCACACGGTCCAGGAGCAAGGCCTGTGCCGAGCCCCATTCACAGCCCCTCTGGAAGCAGGCAGAGAGTACGAGTGCACGTGTACACGGGGAACGCGTGTTAGTCTCTCAGGCTCCATGCCACAGAGCAGTGCTGCTGTCCTGGCTGAAATCCTGCCCTTCTGCTCCATGGAAGCTGGGTTACCAGGAAAGCCACAACCTTGGCCCCTTCCAGCTGAGGGCAGCATCAAGAGCCCTGCCCCTGCCACCAGCTCCCTGGGTTAGAGAAAAGCAAGCGCAGAACGTGACCAGCTACAGCCTCTGAAGCCTGAACCCCTGCTCCTGTCTCGTGACCTTATAGTAACACTGTTCTACCCCCTGCCAGTCCGGCCCGTCTCATCAGGTCACCTGGATGCCCAGGAAACCTCGTCACTATGGCTCTCATCTCCGTTACCTTCGTTCCAGCCCTAAGAGATGGGTTGGTGCAGGGGTCACCCCGAGTCCCACCCCAGGACAGGCTATTGCCAAGAGACACAGGATGATCGACAAGCCAGCGAGCTCTGTGGAAGGGAGACCCTCACTCACCTTGGCCCAGGCGAGCTTCTCGTGGATGGCGGCATTGTTGGGCTCCACGTGCCGTGCAAATTTCAGGTTGTTGATGGTGTACTCGTGCCCACAGTACACTCGCTGTGGAAAGGAGAGAGCAAAGCACTGCTTCATAGCCACCGAGCAAGAGGCCCCCCCTTAGATTCTCGCTTATAGCTCGTGTATCTCCCCCCAGGGTCAAGGGCAAGGACCCCCTCCCTCCAAGCACATCTGGCATCCAGAGGGCTTGGATGAAACGACCCCCAAGGTCCCTTCCAACCGCAGCCTCCTGCCGAAGGTACCGGAAAGTCATTCCCCTACTTTGAGCAATATTATCCCCAGGCAGGGATGGGGCCGTGTCTGCCCTAGGGTCACAGCAGTTCACCCAAGCCCAGAAGAGCAATGGATACCGTCTCAGGCTCCAGGCGGCCCAGGACTTCAATCAGCGCTCGGTACATTTCTTCCGGAGTCCCTTCAAAGAACTTCCCACAGCCGGCCACAAACAGCGTGTCACCTGCAGGGGAGGGAGCGCAGTGTGACCGGGCAGTGTGCTGGGGCATATGGGGCACAGTATCAGGGCTCATCATAGCTCCTGAGACAAGCCAGCTGTCTGCACAGAGATCCAAGAGGCAGGGCTAGGAGCAGGTGTCTGAAGGGAAAGAGGAAGGTGCCTAAATGGATGCTGACAAGAGCCCTAGAAGAAGCAGGTACAAGTTGAAAGCCTCCCACCTACTTAAGAACTGCCTTTTGCTGGGTCAGACCGTACATCCATCTGCCCAATCTCCTGTGTCGCACAGAGGTTGGAAGGGAGAGCGAAATGGGTAAAACCAGGGTTTTTCCCCTGTTCCTCTCTCACTGGCAGCCTCCAGCACTGAAGGTCTAGGAAGCTCTGATTCAGAGGCTGTCTCCCTACCTCCCACGCTCGATAGCTCCTGACGCCCCTTTCCTCCAAGACACTGTCCAATCCCTTTTTGAATCTGGCTAAACTTTCACCTTCTACCACCTCTGGTGGCAGTGAGTTCCACCCTTTAATGACTCGTTGTGTGAAGAACTTCCTCGTGTTAGTTTTAAACTGACTGCCTACCGGGATCATGTCCTGACTCCTATTTCTCTCAAGGCAGGACCTGAACCGACCGAGATGACGTGCCAGAGCCCTTCCCTCTAGCCCAGCATTTCTCGACCTGTGGGTCACGACCCAAAAGCAGGTCGCAAGAATATATGAAAGGGTCACAAACAATCACGGAAAACGGTGTAAACTGTGAGCGTCACTTGGGAGTAATGTAGGGCCACATGTTGATATTGCTGTTAATGTTTTCCTGTTGATACCGATTTCTGTCTTTAAAATGAAGACTGTTGAGCTGCTTTAACTTGTGGTATGTAATAAGTATTTTGAGGCCAAAATATTTGTGTGTTTTCTACTTAAACTATGGGTTGGGACTGGCCATCGATGTTTACAAATGGGTCCTGGTACAAAAAAAGGTTGAGAAACACTGCTCCAGCCCACACTCTCCCTTTCTGTAGGGTTTCGTTAATGAGACGGCCACAACTGCAAAAAAGCAAACACTGAATTTTGCTGCTAACCCAGAACTCGACCCGTAACGGTCACTGACTCTGGAAAAGAAGGGGTTACAGATTGCAACACTGAAGCCTCTGGAGTATTTCTGACTGTTGCCGTTGTTCCCCTCAGTTGTGTGCCCCTAGGTAGATCCACTCCATTTCATTAGCAGCAGGTCCTTTGGCCCCGGGCGCGCTCAAGACTCCAGCAATCAAGGGAAGACAAGCCAAGGGAGAGCCCATGCATCTGTGTACTCGAGGCCGTGGGTAAAAGATGCCTCACCTGTGAAGACAGCAGGCGGCTCTGAACTGCTGGGCTTCGTCACGTAGTAGCAGATGTGTCCTGAGGTATGGCACGGGGTGGACAGACATTTCACGTGAAGGGATCCCACCTGCAGGGGAGGCAGGAGAGCAGCGCGAGTCTGGGACGAGCATTTGCTAATCGCTGCTAAGTGTGGACGCTAGAGCAGGGCAGCCTCTCTCCAGGGAGGTGCTCACACAGCAGACTGGGAAGGCAGCAAGGGCAAAGCAAAGCAGACGTAGTCCTTGGAGCAGATGTAGCCACTGAGGTGGCACCGTGCTCTTTTACATGCCAAGTAACTTGGCGCCCAGCGGGCAGCAAGAGGGAGGCCAAAGCAATGCCCAGAACAGGGCCATTAATCATGTGAAGATGCCTACCTTCAAGTGCTGTATATGGGGTGTCGGCTATACCCAGTCCCAGCGCCAAACCTCACACTAGCCAGGCGATGGGGCCTCCTCTCCCGCAGACACATTAACACTCATCTACATCCACAGCGTCTCCCTGGCCCCCCTCCCCTGCCAGGCATCTCCGACTAGTGCTTTTCTGAGATAAGCAGAGACCAGAACTTCGGTGTGATCCCGTAACAGCAGCGTCTTTGACAGCCCAGGCTCCACACAGAGCTGGTAGAGAGAGAAGCCTGCTGCGTGGCATACAACAAAAGCCATATAACATCACCAACAATAATACTATTACTATTATTATTAATACTGCCATTATTATTATTGTTTCAGGGGTACAGATTGTAGCCGTGTTGGTCTAAGGACATAAGCAGACAAGGTTCTTTGGGTAAATCTGCTATCTTTTATTAGACCAACTCAAAAAGAAGAATTTTTTCCAACTAGTTGAGTTGGTCTAATATAAGATAGCAGATTTAACCCAAAGACCCTTGTCTGCCTATTATCAGTGTTAACATTGTTATTAGTATTAATAGTATTACTGTTATCAATATTGTTATTATTGCTACTGTAATAGTTACTATGTATTTGAACATAGCTTTTTTCTGCCATGTATGTCAGGTGTTAAATGAATAATAGCAATCATAGCCATTATTAGTATTATTATTTAATAATAATAGCTCCAGTTAGTAATAGTATTATTAGTAGTATAATTATTATTAGTTTAATACGCGCAGAACAGTGGTGCTTAGTTGCCGCTCCCTGCCCCAGGTGCTGCGATACAACAGCCACCAAAGCAAGGCCCGGCTGTGTCCCGGAGCCCATCAGGTTGGCCAGTGTTGGCAGCCAGTGGCACACAAGGGAGAGCTGTGGCCAGCTTCACAGCCGGCTGCCTTGGACTCTCCAGCCTGAGTGCCCCGGATACCCGGCCAGCTGGGTCCGTGGAGCGTGGACTGGAAGGAGGCTTGGATCCCAGGCGTCCTGGGGTACGAGAGCCAGGGATGCTCTGCATCCCCTGCAAGGGCAGAGCACGAACAAAGCAAAAGACTAACACGTGTGGGGCCAGCTCCCAGTCCACTTCCCGGTGCAGGCTGGCAGATTCGGCGCCGTTACCTTGAACGAGGTCAGGTGCGACACCTTCTGAGTCAGGGCTCCGACGCGGCTGTCTCCCCCGTACACCTTCAGCCCTGCTTGCATCTTCACCAGCTTCTCGTTGCCTCCAGCATGGTCCCTGGGGGGGGCCAAAGGGGCAGGTTGGGGGGCTGCAAACACACGAGTTGCTCCACTTGCAACTCAAGTGCCTTTCAGGCCAGTATTTTTGGTCAGCTCTTCATCCTCCAAGATGGGAGAATCCCCATCTAGTAGGGCCCTCAATGTATGTGACTCAGCACCGTATCCTGCCCTATCACTTTGTGCAGCAGAGCAGCTTCATCAGTGATACTGCCATGTGCCTGTGGGTGTTTATTCAGCTTCGACCACCCCAGCAGCTCCAAACTCTCTCCTGTATCCAGCATCTCTCGCTCTACCGCACGTGGCACGGCACTGCAGATGCCAAGCATATTTCTCACCCCTTCATGCGTCCCTCTAGACACTGCACAGACGCGGGCACCACCCGGTTAGCTGGCAGGCTAGACCAGCAGTCAGCAACCTGTAAAGGCTGAGGGCTGCACTTGTTCTCTCTTCGCCATTATGGAGCAAGGAGAAGGCAAAAAGAAGCCAGTATCTGTGATGCTAGCAGCCAGCTGTCTATCTCACTACACGGCTTGATCGTCTCTTCCAAGAGAAGCCCCTTGCATTTCATTTCCTTACTGCCAGGGTGGGCTGCAGCTCCATCAACAAAAAACACTGTTTTAAGTCTAAAATGAGACTGATGGACACAAGCTCCCTTGCAGCAAGACAACACCACCAGCCTGACCTGGCACAGCCACTTCTCCGTTTCCTAGCCTTAGGGATTGACGCTCAGTTCTGCAGACTCAGCCTTCCAGAACAAGAAGCGCAGGCCTGCGACCAAAACGCCGCGTCCCTTATGCATTCTGTTGGCATCCGTCCTTCTGCCTCTGCAGCAGATGCGAAGTGCACTTACTCTAGTGGGCTTGAAATCAGGTCTTTCAGGTCTGACAGGGAGTCTCGGCATATGGGAACCCAAGTCTAGGCAGGTTAGGGCATTTCCAACCAGCCCTGCCCTTTCTTCTCTGGGCAGAACCTCTAGTGAAGGAAGATTTGGGAGGACAACCCTTGAACCAGCCTTTGAATGAAGAGCTGCCATGACAGAGGAGTATCGTACCCTGCATAACAGCAGTAACAACAGAACTGGGGAAGGGAAGGTTACCAGTGGTGATGGGTGGTTAGGACTGTCGTCAGCTTCACTCCGTGCTTTTGGGCAGCCTCCAAAACCTACAAGGAGGCACAACAGAAATATCAGAATCCATAAAAAATGACATGACATCCAGTGGGCCGCTGCATACTGGTAGCGACATCTATGGGAACTCTGGATGTGTATACATCACACCTTCCCGCTGCTTTGCTGGGAACCCTGAGCAGCCACAAGAGCCTGTGAAACCCTTGTGCACAGCCAAGGAAAGCCGCCTTAATGCCGCTGGTGAAGGGATTTAAAAGAAGCCCTTGATCTCTGTGGCAATGAGAAACCACCC